CTAGATACTTCAAAGGCGTCTGACACAGTCGATCACTTGCTGTTAATAAGTAAGTTGGTGACTATGGGAATTGACTTTCCACTATTGGGATGGATTAAGTCTTTCCTCAGTAGTCTCACTCAGGTGGTGAAGGTAGATTCACACACTTCAAAACCTGGGCCAATCACCTCTGGTGTAATTCAAGACAGCGTCTTAGATCCCCCTCTCTTTACTTTATACGTCAATGACATCTGCAACTGCTTTGCACACGATAAACCATTCTTGTTTGCCGATGACCTGAAAGTTGCACACACATTCAGCCGTGATAACTTATCCCAATCCCAAGCACTAATACGAAGGGGGCTGGATGCAATATCCGCATGGTCTACTGCTTGGAAACTTCAGTTCAATGTAGGCAAATGTGGCTGGATATGTTTTGGTTCTCCATCAGCGGATATCCAACCACATCTTGAGTCTACGAAACTACCTGTTCTTAAAAGTGTATGTGACCTTGGACTAATATGTTCAAGGGACCCAACATTTTCTGAACAGGTAGCATCACAGACTCTCAAATCTAGGATCTCGCTGGGTTACATAGTTCTTAACTCCCACTTCAAAGAAGTCGAGTTGCTACTCTGCAAAACCTGCGTACGTCCACTACTAGAATACTGTCCATTTATACTGCATAATAGACAAACACAAAATAGAGGGTGTCCAAACGTATTTCACAGCTAGATTGTTAGGGCACAATTGCAAACAGGACTGAGGCACCAGGTGCAGAACACTAAGTCTAGAACCACTTTGGATGGGACGACTCAAGATTAACCTGACACCCTTCTTTAATGTGTTACACAAACACACGTTTACAGTCAGTGGTGAGTTTTAGTTCGAACACAACAAATCGTTCAAGTCCTGCTTGCGCGCAAACTTCCTTGCCGTCACATTCTCTCAGGTGTGGAACAGACTTCCAGCTAAAATGAAGGCCTCCAAATTTGGTCGGATACTGGCTGACTTCTTATCATCTGGTGACTTCTACGACTTATCGAATACACCGACAGCACCCTTCACGACACTTCGTATGCTCGGCTCGCTTAATGTATAATGAGACAGCCACCACACCTACACTGACCTTTCATACGAAGCGTTGAAGAGACTTCGATAAGTTACCACCTCAAACTAACGGCACATTCTGCTCCACCCAACACGGAACTGAAAAACAGAAATTCCACACCACATGACAGCATGAAATATATATTTTTAAACACTCTATAGAAAAAGGATATACAATGAAAGTCATAGCAAGGGAAGTTAAGTAGGGAGAAACATGAACATAGAAAACACTCCCCGTTGGAATTCTAGCTTTCCCCGCCTTCCGCTTTGTCTGTCCTTTTCTCGTTGTAGAAGAATAATTCAGTTCTAAGCGTTGGCTTTGTTGTCATCGAGAAGTAATTACTTGAGGGACAGACCATGGCTGAAACTACCCTTCATGGAGGGTAACCAGCCTTACGAAGTTCAGAATACCTAACTACAACAAGCAGAAATTAAAAAAGTTCACTGGACTGCAACTTAATCATTATCAAAATCTAGGATTAACCCATATAAAAGTGACCAGCAGGGTCCAACACTTACCAACTGCGGGGCTGTCACGACCCGTAAAACGAAGGGCAACGTGTTCTGGAAGTCCATCCGGCGCATTCAAACAAGTCTACTGCTTCTGGATGCCGGAGTTGCAGAAGTGAAGACATTTGGTTTTCAGTCATAGTATTCATCAAGATTATGAATCTTTGTTGTGGAATGGTATTAACACGGATGACTTATACAGTCCTGGAACCATCAATTAAGTACAATAAACAAACAGTTCATGCATGCATTCCCTCATAAACGTTTCACCATTATCTCAAGCAAAAAGTACAAACTGTTGCAATGGAAGTATTCGCTTCAAGCTTTATTCTTCTCCGGGTAATACTTGTAATGTCTAGATACAAACCTGGTTTTTTGTTGATGCGAAGACAGTACTTTCACTCATCCAACTTGTAAACTTTCTGCATGCTTATTCTGCTGGGATGTTCCACCATATGAACATGCAACACCTATATCTTATAGTGACAACGGGTAGGGATTCAGATCACCTTCCATGAAGATGAATGTATTTGTATATAAACTTATTCACACCTGTAAAGATGGTGTGTGCCTGTATGTTCGGGAATAATAATAATAACTGCTATTAATTAAGGCTCACTCAGCTTGCCGTTATTTAAGCACTGTGAATCTAATAGCCAGTGTGACTGTCGACCTGGGTCATCTCCGGATTTTCCAGAAAGTTTCAGGTGGAGTGAATGTTCTTAACTTTATGTGTAATTTACATTTATTTCATTTTGTTACACATATGACGACACTATTTCCTCCCGTATGTTTCTGCGTGGCGTGTTGAAGGTGCCGTGCAGTTTATTATGAACGTCCTTCACAATTTCCCGATTAATGGTTTTAACTTAGCGCCCATTGTTTCATCACCTCACCCGTTGTGAAACCAACTCCTACCACGTCTCGCAAACCTGAGGGTTTCATATTTTTTACCGCTATGTGTATTGCTACAATAGATTTGTTCGCGGTACTGTTTGGTCATTTGTTGTGGCCCTAAGATCGACGCCCGTAGAAGCTGCCTAATAGAATTGGCCAGCTTAGTCAGTTTCTATTCGTGACACTCGAGTTTTTCCTAAGTATTATATGTTGGAGACAGGCCTAGTAGTGATCTGAAATCTTTATCAGCCAACACCTCCAGATTATCGGCTTTACAGGAGTGGATTGTCACCAGTGCAGTTTGCGCCACCTGTGGTGGTGTAGTGGGCTTTGCCGATGACAACGGATATAAGTCTTATATATCGAGAGGGTGGCAAGAATCATAGGGAATTACCAGCTATGGGTAAGGCCTCTGCCAAGAGCAACGTAGGGGACAACACAAGCGCATCACAGGGGATGCTGCTGACGAGAGTGTATGAAGAGCCGGTCAAGAGCAAATCAAGACAGGAACAGAGAGGAAACGAAGACATTTGCAAATGGCTGTGTTAGTGCAAGGAGCACAATATGTAACCACTACCATTACAGTTCTTCCTAATATACATTCTCTCGTCTAGTTGTGTCCTATTTCTTCAACAGTTCCGTGAGAAGCAGTTCATTGTGAAGGCCAACATGGAACTTTTGTTAGCAAATAGCCTCTCGCATTAATTCATGCGCGTGAGTAACTGGATCGCTCCCCAGATCGATGTGACGCAGCATTTCGCCAGGGCAGTGGAGACTTACCTATTTCCAAGCATCTCCCACTCCTGACGTGCTAGCGTCCGAAACAGCAAGTATTTATACCGTCAGAATTATATTTACAGGCGCAAAAGGATGAAAACTGGGGAAAATGCAGTTTAGTGGTAGTGGATTTTACTTATTGTCCATGTTGAAGGGCATATGTTCACTGTTAGATGAACCGCTAGAGAGATCTGTTGCATGGTGTAAAATATGTGTAGCTTAGGTGTCTGGTCTTGGTAACATTGTCTACTCCGGGCTTGGCTGTTTAATCGAGGGGCTTTTGTCGTCTTTCTAGACGACGTCATAATACGACCAAGAAAATCTGCTGCGATGCATTGTTGTCAATATGTTCCCTTTGGAGTCGTCAGCTGAATCGATCCCCTAGAATTGGTTGCTTGTCTATATTTTCGCTGCCATTGCAGTCGTCCAGAAATCTGAGCGATTCCAGGATAAATAAATGTTCATAAGGTGACAGGGTCAGTTAATAAATGGGACGGTTAATTACTACCTATTACACGGTGAATTTCCCAGTGGCATAACTTCAACCACATTGCCGTTCCGGTGTCTGGATCCCATCTTTTGATTTCGCGTGACCATGACTATATTACAGGAACCTATTCGTAAATGTTTCTACGACAGCGTGCCATCAGACACTAACTTTGGCATCAGGAAAGGACGCTTCGGCCTCGACCGACCAGAAAAGCATGAGTTGGGCAGGGGTGCGTTGGCAGTTTGACATGGATAAGTCAGTGAGCCTGATATCACACGGAAAAAGAAGTTTATTATACGAATACACGGAATTAGTTGATGTAGATACAGAAATACATGGGTGGGAATAGGAATAAATTCGCAGGTTTATGAGTTGTCCGTCCGTAATCTTTGCGCATGCAAAAGCAAGTCATCAGTTATTGTCACTCGTGCAATATCCACGAATGCAAGACCAAGAAAGAACAAAAGATAGGATGGTCAGAATAATATTATTGATAGACCGTGCCAAAATACTGATGCGTTCCCTCTGACCGGTCACAGGTCCGCGTGGTAGCGACTTAACCCAGCAACTCGCCAAATTAAGTACGTGCCCGACCGTGTGCCTCCTGTTTAGGATTTTTGCTAAGAACATTAAGTCAAGTATCAATGCTGAATCTTGTCAAACCACAGGGCTGTCGATTGTTTGGGGATTATTTGCTGCAACTCACCCACCCAGTCGATTTCACTCCTCAGAAACGTCTCATATTGCGCTTCCCTAAAATGTGCCAGTCCTATCCGGGCACAGAGACCAGCCACAAGATACTCATACACTTCACACAAACCCGTGGCTTCATAACCAATTAAACTTGCAAGTTGCAAATAGAAATCTGGAGAAAATAGTAGGGTGGAAATGGGATTACAAATTAGAGTCCTATAAGCACCCCAAAAACTAAGCCAAACCAAAAGAACCAAGTCGTAGGAGGAAGATTCGGATGTTAAAGAAACATCAGTTTCGTAAAGTCACATTAATGATACTGGCCACTGGAAGTAATTTGCCCTTCCTATTTCAACCGACATCTATTTACCCCTAGCTGTATTATAACTGGGTCAATAATCAAAGAAGCCTGTGGTCATCAGCTTTTTGAGATGGAAGCTGGATAAGTACAAGCTTCTCTCCGTAACCCATGATATGAAACAATTTGAAGATTTGCGGTAATTTTGAATTAAGGTCATTGTTTTACCTTGAACGTGCACGAGTTATGGAAGGCGTTGGTGATGGTTTCAAACCAGAAGATGTTCATTCTCCTAATGACTGGGAGCACGTTGATCTAGGATCTGAAGATAGGAATAAGAAGTTTTTAAGATTGATGGGCGGGAATTCTGATCGTCAGCATAAAGGGAAAATAGTAATCGGAGAAAATATAGACAGTGTACATAATTGGACTAAAGACCCATCTGTGGTCAGCATGGATCTAGAAAGTCAGTTTCATCAGGGTTTGGAGAAATGTAATCAGTTTAACCGTCATATTGGTCTGGGTTGTCATGGAAGTGAGTCAAAAGTTTTGTCTACATCCATGAATGTGCACGTTCAGATTGTGAGATTAGTTCTAGTTTTAGTGATTCAGAAGCCTATTACTGTGCATTTTTAAAAACTAGTCATTCTATGTTTTGATTTCCCACTGAATATCCGCTGCAGTGCAATAGAGTGCAAGCATATTCACGTATGTATACTAACTTCATACTTTCGGTTCGATAGGTTATTGTTATGTTGATCTTTTGTTAACATGTCTGGGCTTATTCATTCTCTTATCCATTCACTATGGATGTCTGCTCTTGGCTTTTGTACTTTCCTAGGAAGCCATTCGGGGTATGATACCGTGATTGGAAGCGTAAAAGGTAAAACATTAGACTTAAAACCGCTAAGTTTTCATCGACTTGGTTACCTTCCATTCCTTCACGACATGATAATAGGAAAACGGCTAAAATCAGCTAGCGCATAAATGACCATGAACGGCCATTCGGAACGTAAGCACATGAAAAAGGCATTGAAGGGAATGGAAAACGCATATTAAATGCAAAAATTGCTTATGAAGTGTAGTTTCTTAGTAAACTTTTGACTAAAATTGTTCCAGTTATCCATGTGTGTCTACAGACATGTTAAGCCAAATTCACCATGAGAATTCGCATAGACTGTGATAGATCACATTATTTTGAGACTTTAAACTGCCCTTATTGTGTTGTTGATTTGTTGCTGAAACTCTAATGGGATTTATATGTCCTTGACATGGCGTGTACATATTCAAAAGTCTATTTCGCTAATTTATGCACATAACCCAGCGTGCTAATTCCTTTAAAGGCAGACTGCTGGTGTGTATGAACTATTGTTACGGAAAGATTATTATTATTTTCCCCTTGGGTTCCTAGTGGAACATTCAACTTCAGTAACACGCCTCTATTGCACTCCCTTCTCTGTAGTCTTCTCTTTTAGCCTGGCGCCACGACTGCCCACAACCTTTTATTTTTTCCTCACATGATCTTCGTGTCACCGTCGAACTCCCAACTCGTCGTTTCCCCCTTGGATTCCACTCGAGGGCCTGGCCTGGTGCGTGATGTCCCCAATCGGCCTTCTCAGTGTATGCCCAATCAATTTCCATCTCCACTTTCTTCTGCATATATGTTGGGTGGTAGGTTTGGTTGGTTCGTTGCCAACCAGAGTTCCTTGTCGCTTATTCTTTCTGGCCATCTGATCTTCAGTATTGAGTGGGCGTGGGCGGCAGCTGTTGATGAATATCTGTAATTTGTTGGAAATGGTTTTCGTAACGCGCCGAGTTTCTGAACCATACAGAAGCACTTACGTGACATCGGTGTTCAGAATCCAGATCTCGTCCTTTGTTCTGAGTGCAGTAGATCCCCACACTAATTTCAGATTAGTGAAAGCCTGTCTTGCTTTTCCGATCCTAGTTTTGACATCCTGGTCTGTGCCGCCACCTGTAGTTGAAACGATGCTGCGCTGTTTAGGTAGGTAGAAGCGATTACTTCCTTTAGGTTTCTCCTGTTAGTGGTGATTGGTGCTTGTTGGTGGTTGGGTATCTTCATCACCTCTATCTTCTATACATTCACTTAAAGTCCCATTTTCACTGCCCAACCTCTTCTGTCAACTTGTTCGTTTTCGCCTGTAGATCTTGGTGTTTGTGCGACATTAAAGATAAATCATCGGCGAAATCCAAATCTTCTTTTGGGGTCTTTTCCTCAGTCCAGCATATGCCCATCTTCTCGCTTCTCACTGTTTTCTGCATGATCCAGTCCACCACAATCAGCAAGATCATGGGTGATGATAGGCGGCAGCCTTGTCTTACTTCTGTCCAAACTTCACTTCAAAGGCACCACTGAGCTTTCCATTGTAAATCACTTGGTATGTGGCGTCGTCATATACCTGTTGAACGAGGTTGATGAAGGTTTATGGCACTAAAGCAGTAGTGTTGAAGTAGCGGCTAAATTACTTCTCGGTTGACACTGTCTAGAACCTTTTCAAAGCCAATGAAGTTGGGGTAAGGATCCAGCAGACTACAGTTCTGTACTCTGTTCAATGATGATGCTTAGCGTTTCAATTTGATCCGCACATGATTTGTTCTTCCTGAAGCCAGCCAGCCAGCCTGTTCTGGTCATAATTTTGAATCCAGAGTATCCTTTAGTCTCTCCAGGAGGATGTGGCACAATGTCTTGCTTAGGGTGGACAACAGCATGATTCCTCACCAGTTCTTGCAAAGGCTTAGGTCTCCCTTTTTGGGAGTTTGACAAGGTGGCCCTTCTTCCAATCTGCAGGTACTTTTCCTTCCTTGCAAACCTTCTGCAGTAGTGGTGTGAGCGTGTCTGCTGTTGTCTGTGTCTGGTTTCAGTGCTTCTGGTGGAATTTCACCTTGTCCTGCTGCTTTCCCGAATTTCAGCAGTTTTATGACATTCAGGACTTCTGCTATTGTTGGCGGTCTTGTGTTCACTTGTAGTTCTGCTGTTGCTGGTGGTGCTTCTCGAGGAGTTGCAGGTGGTGGTCAGTTCAAGAGCTTTTTGGAGTAGTCAGCCCATCGTTCTCTTTGTTCCTCGTCTTTGCTAACTAGCTTTCCTTCTCTATCTTTCATGGGTTTCGTTTGAGTTGATCTCTTCCCGGATAGTAACCTGGTTAATTGATATATATTGTTGTCAGGTCTCTCCCACCAGCAGCCTGTTCTGCTTCACTTGCCAATGTGTCGTAGAAGTGTCTTTTGTCTTATCGTGTACTCTTCTTCACTTCTTTGTCCAGTGTACTGTTTTATCCATCGTACTCTGTTTTTCCTTCCGTTGTGCATCCTTGCACTGGTTCATCTGCTTCACCATCTTCCTTTCCCTCCTCTATCAACTTCCATGTGTCCGTCGAGATCAATTTCTTGTCTTGTTTTGCCTTTCTTCCTAATAAGGTCATGCAGGTTTCTTTCCACATCTCTTTCAAAGTTTCAGTGCTTTTCCACGCCAGATCCTTCAGGGGTGTTGCTCAGTGTCTCCGATTGTGTTCTGGTGGCTGATATGAAGATATGCTTTGTAAATTCGATTCAGTCAAATGGTGATGGCGTCTTATAGGAGTCCACATGCCACCATCATACTTGATAATTGACTTACACTTCATTTTACTTACCTTTTAACCAGTTGGAGTAAACTTGAATGTTAAATGAATAATCTCTGTGTTTTAAAACTGATTATGTAAACCGATGAGCACATTGTTCACACTCTTCAAAAACAGTGTGTAACGTGATACAGCATGGCAGTTACACACAGATTCACTCATTCGCCATTAAAATCCGCCTTTTTTTGGTGAGAACTGTAACTGTGCCTAACTGTTCAAATCTTAGTAAACGCTTTGGGTCTGAAATGCGTAAACCATTGCTTCAGTCGAGATAACTATGCCTATATAGTAGTTAACTAGTTTCTAAATAGTTTTATACAATATATATGTAATATTGGCCGAAGTAAGCTCAAGGTGGGAAAAGTTTTGAGGTGACTCATTATCGTCATCATCAAGATCACCACAGGACCAGGCATTATTGTATGGCGGTCCAAGTTGTCACACTTCTTATGAGAACGCCGACTAACAAGGCACTAAGATGAAAGTAGTAAAGTAGAGGAAGGAAGAATGCGATGATGAAACTAAGTAAAGCGGTTAAGGTGAGGATAATGTGTATATACATCTGTGTCATATCTGGTGTCCCGTGGACCCCAACCGGCTAGTCTGCATTGTACTACATGGCTCAAACCAAGAGCCAAGAACTTCATGCATTGATGACATGTTTTATTCTGGCCACGCTGAGTCTTTTCTCAGCCCGAACCTACTTCGGCTAATATATTATGTGACGAGACAGACTGTGGCTAGGCCATCTCATTCTATGAAGGTTCACAACTGGATCAATTATCTTACCTCTCCTGCCTAAAACTCTACGTCTGACTTCTGAGTTATTCACGTAGTGACATCACAAAACATAGGCCGAGGTGACTAGACTAATTCCTCTATTTCTTTATCTTTCATCTGAGTATATTTCCTCTTGGTATGCGGGTATGAGGTATGGCAATTTGGACCATTCCTTAGCAAGAACGTAGAGCCTCGTACACAAGTGCATCTGTTTGAGTTACGATCTTCCACAGTAGTATACAGAGAACAAGTAGATAGATAAAGACCATCAAAGTAGTCAAAGGTTAGAAAATTTGAAAGTGAAGGTTAATTGGAATATTCAAGCTTTAGAAGATGTTAAAGAATGAATACACTCTCGTCATTGTGACTGATTTTCTGCCATGTCACCAAGTGTCCTCAACTATTGATTCCTGTTGTCTTTGGGATCTAAAACAGGCAGTCTACACCTCACTACATAGCTTAAACCAATAGTCACGGACTTCATGCAATGATACTACTTCTGTTAATGTGTGCTATGACAATACAGAATGAACAGTGTTAAAAATAGGCCTAAGATTTCAATAAGAAGATTGAATTGGTTTATCAGTAGGCGAACTTAAATATCATTCCTGTTGAGTCGCATTTTAGACTTTTAAATGATATTCACACTAATTTATAGTTAATAGCTACTGTCTATTAGATTTCCTTTAAGCTTTTCATTTTTGTAAAACTTTTTTTCCAACTTTATTCATTCATACAGACTCTTCATCTGATCCAGTTGACAATTTGGATTATGCTAACAGTGAGAAAGTCAAAGCACAGTACACATCATCATTTGTGCCAAAAACTAATCAGTAAATCGCTTTGACCACCTCACAGAGTTTTCAAGGTCATTCTTAGGGTGGAATCTTTTATCTCAATTTTTTATACTACTTAATTAACTTGTTAGTAAATAGACAAATTGACCTCATATAAAACTACTATTCACTTAATTTGAGATGAGAAATTTTGCACAATTCCTGTAACTTGCTGACTTACTGTAACTAACACAAGTGTATTCAACTGTCATTGTTTTTTTCATTTGTTTTTTTTCGAAAAATTATTTAACATTCTGTATTTTATACGGTTTTAACCAATTTCAGTGAGTCTACCTCTTGTGTTATTTTTGAGTTTGTTTTGCTAAACGAGTGACCTGAGTTCACGAAATGTTCTGTTATTGAACTGAAGATAGGTTTTCGTTCTCACGTTTTGCGAGCGGATGCATAGTACGGCCAATATATTCGGCTCCACAAGAGCAAGTAAACTGGTATGCACTCATTGATTTGGCCCAATGAATTGGCTTGTCTTTCACACATTATTATTACTCTTACACTCAAAGTTCTGTTCATATTTCTGTATGAAACATGTAAGGTTATGCCGTAACAATTGTGGATTTCATTTATTGCGCTACAGTCTCAAGTAGTATGATTCGTCTTCATAAAAGTAGAAGTATCGTTTTATGAACGACGTTTCAAAAATCTACATGAAATGCGGCTAATAAAGATGGAGAATATGAGAAGGCTTCAAGTGTTCATTCACGTCTGTCTTCGTAGCACAGGTTATGTGTCGTGATGGTTTCACTTCGATAACGTAGGACTCAGGCTTGATAAAGTGTCAAAGTAATCGGACTACAAGGTTGACTAAAATCTTTGAAAACCTAATTAAGGGACTGAAATACACTGAAGCAATACTACTACTTGGTAGTTACCCTCCGGGATTCGTTAAAAAAAAGTTTATAAAGACTGATAAGAGAAGGATTGGTAATGTTAGTCGTGATTACAACATACATAAGAAGGAATTCAAATCGTCTGTGGTTTGGTATATAAAGAGGGCCATCTGAAAGTCTATGGAATTCGAATGGTACTTGAATCGGCAAAGTCGCCCAGAGAGAAGTTTTGTCGGCTAAACGATACAGTAGAGCCAATTAAGAGAAATAATCTGACCTATCAAATATCATGTAATGATTATTAGGTCACAACAACTGATCTGGATCAGTCAGGATAACGAAGCACAAAAACTAGCTAGATCCTACTAAGATGAGTAATTTAAAGAGAAACAACCATCACACTGTATCGTGGGTGGGGTACGGTAACAATTGTAAAATCCAATATAGCTGACTAGATAGAAGGAGAGACTGATCACAGAATCTTTGTTCATTGAATCTATATGTAACACGAATGATTCATCACCGCATATTGCAAATATCTGAAATTTTTCATTACTCTTAAAATAAACAGATGAAAAATATCTTGAATTATACGAAGTTTCAAAGTTGTATGATATGGATCTGAGCGATCAGTTGTGCTTAAAACGTCATCCAGTAAGTTATATTGCGTCATTGTGTGCTATAACAGATCAACAATCAAAGCCAAGCGATCCTGGCTTTGACATCCTCGTCTGTGCCGCCTGTAGTTAAAACAGTACTGCCTAAATAGGTGAAAGAGACTACTTCTTTTAGGTTTCTCCCGTTGATGGTGATTGATGTTTGTTGTTGGTTTGTTATCTTCATCACCTCTGTCTTCTCCCGTCTTCGTTATCGTGCCGCGCCTCTTTTGTCAACTTGTTCGTTTTCACCTGTAGATCTTGAAGTATGTGTGACATTAAACAGAAGTCATGGTTGGCGAAATCCAAATCTTCTTCTGGGGTGTTTTCCCCGGTCCAGCGTATCCCCTCCTCTCGCTCCTCAGCATGTGGAACGAGATTCGGATTTTCAACACCAATGTCAAGTCGGTGCTTTTGTATGGCTCGTACAGCGCGCTACGAAAGGGATTTCCAACAAACTACAGACATTTATCAACAACTGCCTACTCTGGCTCGTTACTGAAGACCAGATGGCCAGGAAGAATAAGCGACAAGGAACTCTGGTTGGCAACGAACCAACCAACAACCTATCGCTCGACAAATATGCAGAAGGAAGTGGAGATAAGTTGGGCATACACTGAGAAGGCCGACTGGGGACATCACGCGCCAGACTAGTTGCTCGAGTGGAACTTCGATGGGAAACGACGAGTTGGATGTCCGAGGTGAGGGTGACATGGAGGAAATCGTGCAAGGAAGAAATGAGAGCTTATGGGCAGTGGTGGAACCAGGTTAAAAAAATTTCAGAGAAGAGAGTGCACTGGAGACGTGCTACTGAAGCCCTATGTTCTATTAGGAACCCAAGAGACAAATAAATATATATAAATGATAGTACAGTGACCAAGTTTTACTCGTACATTAGGTGAGGCGTAGAGTTTTGGGCAGAAGTAGAAAGTTAGTCGATGGTGTTTTGAAGTGGCTGAAACATGTGTTACGCGTACCCAGGTACCGTCTGTCTTGTTGCTCAATGTTAAATGAATGAGATTTAGACTAGAAAAAGGTCATAGATGGTCAGACTAAAACATGGCATCAGTGCATAAAGTTTGTTGCTGATGATATGAAATATGTAGAATAACTTAGATTATGTGCCAACCTAAATCGTTGGTTAGAGACTTGAGGTGATATGGCGCATTATCTTTAGCTTAACCATCATATCTTCTTGTTCTCCTTTCACAACTTCCTACCACTTTCCTGGTTATTTTTGTTACCCCATCTTGGCGCCTTTTATGTCGATCCAATGTGACCCTGTTACAGCATATCCTAACGTTGGTACTGACTTCGCATTATAAAATATACTTTACACTCGACTTATTCAAGTGAACTAATTTTAACTGAAACTTATTCAAATGCGGATCAAACTTCATCACTGCTTATAAGTTGGTAGAATCTGATAGAATCACCAGGTGGCAGAGTTTGACTTAGGGAGTTACGTCTTGGAAATCGATGTCCGTCGAACGGTAATTAGATATCAGGCAACAGTTGCAAACAATTGGTCTGTTTAAGAAGTTGTATAATTCTACCAAGACATCAGACAGTCAACTCCATTCTTTCATTAGTATACAAAAGGTAGAATGGGAAACAAGACGAATTACATAGAAGTTGACGATAGTGAACGAGAGTATAATTATAGGAAGGTGAATGAATTGATTTATAACGAAGAGTGTATAAATATACATCATTGTGACCGGCTTTGAACTATATGATCCAGAGATTCTCAAACCATTGATGATTTCTGTTGTCTCAAAGACCCCAGTGAAACCAACACGTGAAGAGAATCTATGGATCGACGATACATTTCAGCCTAACTACAATTGTTTTTCCTTCAGCCTAGTTAGGTTACCACTTCATCAACTAACCTGCTTTGCTTCTTGAATACAGTTGTCTGCAAATTTTTTAATCATAAAGCATCATCATTGATTCTTTATGAGAGACGTCTATTGTACATTGATTAGCCATTGGAAGGTAACTGACCTCATGTTTTCTAATCCAAAGTACTGATTGATCTCTATTGATAAAAGGTTCAGCACCACTGTGTACTGGTATGGATGTTAGTTGGATGATAAGGATCAGTAGAATAGCCTTGATCACTTAGATTTCTTGCTTATTGGCACTTATCAGCAAGGCATAAGTGCAACTTCCAGAGAACTGATGTCCCTGCTATGACCGGTATTACGATCTAACAGTCTACGAGCGATACGACCGTAGCAGACTAAGAACAATACGAACCTAACGCGAAAACGAGTCGACTTTAACGCAAATCAGAACGTCAACTACCACCACCACAACAACAATACCACCGATGCGTGAAGACAAGAAGAGAAGACAGACGGTTGACAGACAGCTTTCTACTGTCTTAACAACAATCGACAGTGATGCTGAATATATACATTTCTACATGACCTTGCGAATACTAAACCCACATATAGGTAGAAATAGTCAACAATCGATGAGAATTCAGACTTGAGAACAGAGGGAAGAAAAACCAGTAACAGTATGAAAATAGCCATGTAAGTTATTTTAAAGTCATGGGGAAAACAGCAGGTGAAAGTCATGCTAAACTAGAGGTATATAGCAATCCCTTGGGATATTCGAACCCACGTCAACCAGCATCGTTACCACTGAGGTATTCGGGCTGCAGTCAACCCCTCGTGTAGGACTGTTTAGATACTTTGTTCAGTCACTACAGAACAACCAGTTTCATACCTAATGCTGAGCGAATTATGTCGATTATTTCACAATCTGTTTAGTAAGCCAGAAAACTCACTGTCATGGTTCATCTTGACAAATGTTTAGTAATACAACAATATTTTCAGCATAAAGCTATTATCATAGTAACATGTATATGTACTACTGAATACTAAGAGTAGTATTAAAACACTTGTGCAAATCTACCATGTTCACTTGGAAAATGAAGGTGGTTGTCCTCTTGAAGCAGAACTCATCAGCTGTATGCTCTAGTCAGCCCATCTTAAAAAGCTTAAAATGGTTAACTAAATCTCGGGTGCTTTGAACAGTTTGACTTTCTGAACTAGGAGTGATCCCCTAGGACAGTCCTTTATTAAAATCTTGTTAGTTGAGTAGTATTTTAGTCTATATACAAACCACAATACAAGCTTCAATGTACTTAGCCAACATTCTTCTAGGTGATAAGATTTATCGAATTACTAACAGTGTTCAACCGCTTACTTTCTTTTCTGTATCAACATTTACTACTATGTAGTTCTTTATTTAGGTACCTGTTACTGTGTGAAGTAAATCAACCAATCAGCACAATCCTATTTCCCTCAGGTCTGAAGAGTTATTCACTCAACTCGGATAAGGACAACCTGCATCCCTTCAGTCAAATAAAAAGGGCTAATGAAGCGAGCTAAACGTGCTGTATTCAAATAAAATCGTATAGTTGCACAGCTGTTTGAGAAAGCCGTAAGAAAAATGTTAGCCAATCAGGTTTGGCATACGCC